TGTCATTGCTAATGACTGCACCACAACTAAAGGTGGGGCAGAATTTGTGTGGGCTTACCCAAAGAAGGACAGCTCTGCTTTGTGGTTGGGGGGGGTGGGAGAGAGAGAAAGAGGGTCAGAAACTGCTGCAAAAGGTGCTCGGTGGTCAACTTTGCAGCAATGACTCCCCTCTCCTCCCCCCCCCCCAGGAATGTGCATAAAGGTACGAAACCTGGGTGGGGCAAGTCTCTATGTGAAAGCAGGGAGGAAGCTAGCAGAACAGGAACGGGCTAGGGCTCTAAGGTTTGCTGCAGGACCACGTGGAAGCAGCATGGCCCCAAGAAAGCATGGCTCCAGAAAAGCAGCAAACAGCATGGGAAACAGCATGGCTCCAGGGGCACGGAGAAGGGTGAGCTCAGGAAAACAGGGGGGCTATTACCCCCCTGCCCCAGCCCCAGAGACAGGGAAGGGCAGGCACAGGCAAATTACAAAGAAAGGGGACAGTGCAAAGAAGGGGAACTAGCGTCCCCTGCCCCAGGTACTTGATGTTCAGTTCAGGTACTCCATAGGGAGGGCAGCCAGTGACCAGATAAATGGCCTGGTAAAGAACTTAACAGAAGGTACTGGATAAAGAAACAGAATGGGGGAGGGGGTTCAGGGGCTCCCATGACTGGTACGGCAGGGAGCCAAACCCCCTCCCCCTTCTCATAGCCCTCTTTAAGCCTCTTGCGAGGCTGGTGGATGGTAAGGTCCAAGCCGTGGGTCGGCTCGGGGACCTGGATGGAAACAAAGGGTGTCTGGTGGAAGCCCTGAAGAATTGATTTGAATAAGCATGGATTTGCCTGCACTGTACACTTTATCTGCCAGGTAGTCCCAGACATCTATATAATAAAGTTGTGGCCTGATTAAAACCCATAACAAGTCTCCTGTCCTTCTTGGGGTGTACCCAGACAATAAGTATGTAGGAAGAGAGAACAGAGGCAGACCCAGCACAGAGCATACTTTCATATGCCAGCCTCTTCAGAGGTCTTAGTGGGACTACTTTTATTGTTAACTGCTGAAACAGCACTGTCTTGGAGACAACCCAATCCTCCGACAATGAGGTCTAGTACTGAGAGGTGAGCAGAGATAGACCCAGCATAGCATACTTTCAGACTGCATACAAAAAAAGCTACATTAAAAGCATATGAAGTTTGCAAAATCAAGCACTCAACAGTTAGAAAATGCCCAAATTAAGGCTTTCCATGCAACTTTAATTTGGACCCCGGTGCAAATGCATTATGATAGTCTTTAATTACAATGACACTTATTTTCTGCACAGGACCCCTGCTTCATTCAGTACTTCATAAGTACCTATGGGGCCAAACTGACAAATAGTGGTACTCTTCCCAGCTCTGCCCATTCGCGACACTCTCAGGAAATTTCACAGATGTTCAAAATATGATCTTGCCTACTTGTGGACTTTGCTGGGCTCCTAAATGGAATTTCAACCCACTGCTGAGTTATCCAGGCTTATCATCCCCTCGGTCAGGCTCAGATGCCCAGTTGTGTTCCTTCTTGATGGGAGGAGAAATGTAAGTGTGGTACTATCATTCAGAGCAGGCTAGCCATTTTAGAGTTCATCAAAGCAGGGAAGAAAGTAGAGGAAGAATCGTATGATGAAAACCTACAAAATGCTGACATTTAAAATATTATTAGCATTTGAATTCACACCTATTCTTCTTCAAGTTATGGTCCCTACCTGTATTCCACTTGAGGTGCATGTGCACTCCAGGAACTTGAGACTAGAAGATTTTTGCTAGCAATGTCTATTGGTCCATGCATACACCCCTCTCTTCCTTGTGCTCCGAACCATAAGGGGCAGCATGGACCGACCACCTCTACAGTTACTTTCTACTTCCTGTGGTCTGAGATGGAACCTCTTCAGTGCCTACAGCATGAGCCAGTGTTCTCCTTAAAAACTTTGTAGTTAGTTGTAAATATTTTTAAACCTGTTTTTAGATATAATGTAGATTAGTAGGTTTGAGAACTTGGGATCCCCACCCCAACACCTCCTGGTACTATGCCCACGATCCCAGCATTAAATATCCTTGTGGCCTGTTCCTGGGCATTCCCTGTCCTCAATAAGTGCGGCACATGCCTCTGTTGCTTCAGGGAAGCTTATATCCACTCTAAGGACAGCATCTGCCAGACCTTTCCTAGCCAAACCCATCAAGCCTATGAGCAATCAGTTCTCCTACAGGTTTAGAAGATTCTTGGTGGACGGTACTGTGAGGCCCAAGAAGACAAGGAGGGGAAGGGGAAGGTTATAGTCCAAAGTGAAGATGGGATGCTGATGCTAGGGCTAAAGGGGTGAGAGGCCCTGTGGGGATGTTCCTGGTGAGCCATAGGGACCTGGAGCAATTGAAGAAGGGAGAGTGGGATTGGTGCAGCCAGGAGCTGGGGACATTTGGGCTGATCTGTATGGTAGATGGGCTGGAAGGTTGGGGCAGCCTGCAGGGAGTAAGGAATTGTGGAGAGCAGAGGGAGTTTGCAGGGAGGGATGTGGTTTGGAGAATTTTGGCAGGGTGATGTTTTTGTGGAGGTTAATTTGGGGGTTGTGATATGGGTGATTTTGTTTGGGGAGATGGGGGTTGGTGTGGTGGGGAGGAGGGATGAGTGGGGGCTGTGGCAGGAGGAAGTTTTGTGGGGTTTGTGGGCTGTGGGTTTATTGGGTGGGAGGGGTTTGGGGTGTTTATTTGGGGTTGTGATAGCAGGGGGCTGGATGGGTTTAAGCAGGGTGGGGGCTGGATGGAGAGTTATTTGGGGGTTGGGTGGGGGCTGTAGCGGGGGGCTGTAGGAGGAGGATTATTTGGGGTTCTATGGCAGAGGTTTGGGTGGAGATCTGTGGGATGGGGTTATTTGGGAGCACAGGGAGCTGTGTGGCAGTGCCAGTGGCCGCAGCTGGCTGTAGTTGTATCTGGCTCCATTCTCCACAGCCCCTTCCTCTCTCCTCCCTCCCGCTCCATCCTCCCAGCACCAGGGAGGGATGGACTCACTGCCACCACATCAAAGAAGGTCTCTGGGCACTGAAGGGATGGACTCTGCAAGAGCAAGCCTCAGGGTGGGGAGGGAAAAATTCTAAAGTGCTGGAGCATCGCTGTGTCCCGGACCACTCAGGAAGCACTATCCCCCCGAAATAGTGGATGTCTGTACTCAGTTAGTTTTAAGAGTTTTGCAGCATTTATAATAATTACTCATTACTTTAACAAACCTCAGCAAAACCCTGTCTTGTTCTTGATGATTCTACATATACCAAGAATAAAAGCTTTATGCACCATTTTTAATATATTTCCAGCACAAAGCATGTGGGAAGTAAAGACCCCCTTAACATAAGGCATAGCCTTTAATAATACATTAATTTTGACTAAATAGTTTTGGCTCACACACCTTTATGAGATATTACCCCCTGGTATAAGCTTCCACTGCAGACATCCTTTGGCAGAGCAGTCCTCTAAGTACCCCCCTATTCCTTGCACCCTCCTCCTCCTCAATGAATACTGCTTGTGATTCCCCTCAAGTGCAATATACATATGGACCATCACTTGAAAAAGAAAGAAAGGTTACTTACCTGTACAATAACTGAGATGTGTGGTCGCTACATATACTCCATTACCCACCTTCCTTTCCCTCTGCTGTGGAGCCTTATCCTAGGACTATTCACAACAAAAAGGTAACTGGAGTGGCAGTCGGTCCTCTCCGCTCCTTATGCCCTCAGCTCAGAGCACAAGGAGGGGTGCAAACCAGTGGATAGTTCTAGCAAAAAAATCTTCCACTCTTAGGTGTACCCCAAGTGGAATACAGGCAGGGTTCACATATTCGCAGAGCTCCTGTTACTGTATAGTTTAGTAACCTTACTTTAAGATGACGAGGGCTGTTCACTCCCCTCCCGACTATTGTTACAGGAAGTCTGCAAACTCAAGCTGACATTGCTGAATCAGTTAACCTTGGCAATGGGAACAGAATTTTGCTTCACAACCATAACAGCTAGAGAGGTCCTTTTTTTTTTTTTTTAATTGAAAGTTGAGATCCTGAAGAATAAGAAGATAGCTTTTAAAAGATGCCACTCTGCTGGATACCAACCCAGTTCGTGTCCTAAATACTTAGACTGACAGCTGATTTAGATCATATGAACATAAGAACAGCCATATTGGGTCAGACCAACAGTCCGTCTAGCCCACTATCCTGCCTTCTTACAGTGGCCAGTGCCAGATGCTTTA